TACATCTACAACAATAAGTATAAGTATGAAAAAAAAACATGGAGATTAGCAATGTGACACTTTAGTCTAGTGGGTAGGCAATCGCCTGGTAACTGGAAGGTATCGGGTTCGACCCCCAGCTGTTGCGTTTTTTTCTTTTGCTACATCTACAACAATAAGTATAAGTATGAAGAATACATGAGATTAGCAATGTGACACTTTAGTCTAGTGGGTAGGCAATCGTCTGATAACTGGAAGGTATCGGGTTCGACCCCCAGCTGTTGCGTTTTTTCTTTTGCTACATCTACAACAATAAGTATATAAGTATGAAAAAAAAAACATGGAGATTAGCAATGTGACACTTTAGTCTAGTGGGTAGGCAATCGCCTGGTAACTGGAAGGTATCGGGTTCGACACCCAGCTGTTGCTTTTTTTTTAATCTTTGAAAAAGAAAAACTGATGTCAAACCCATTTTGATCTCACTCAAAGTCCATATTTATTGCTATTCTCTTAATTGATCTATACAATGAGCTTGCAATTAACTTGTAAGCAAGGTAAAGTATTATATTTACGAAGTACAAGAAGGACAGGAATCCTGTTTTATCTATTTATCAAACATTATTACATTCAATACTTTTTCAGTCCCAATGAGAGAGAGAGAGAGAGAGAGAGAAAGAGAAAGAGAGCCAGAAAGAGACAAGTGAAGAGAAACCAATACACCTCATCAGTGTAATAAAGTCTGATGATCTTAATCTACATACTTACTTCAAATATTTTGCCGGGCAGATATTATTATTTATAAAAACAAACCAATTTGGAGTTTTATAATAAATATTAATGTTGTTGTTGTTGTTGATGTAAAACAATGAGAAAATAGGGACCTTTTGTGGGGGGGGGGGGATAGTAATGTAGAAAAAAACTACAGGGGAGCCTTGGGATTTTCATTTGGGGGGGGGGGGAGGGGTGGGTATCGGCGCGGATTCAGGATTTCTTAGGGGGGCCCAAACTTGAAATCAATTTGAATTTAATGTGCTGAAATAAAAAAAAATCGTGCCGGCCGATATTCACTCAGTGGTAGAGGGGGAAGGGGGGAGGGGGGGGGGGGGTGAGGGGGTAGAGAGCACTATTTTTTTGTTTGGCCCTCGAAAATTTGAAAAATCATCCCCCCCCCCCCCCCCCCCCCCCCCCCCCCCCCCCCCCCCCCCACATTAATCGCCAGGGGGTCCCATCTTGCCAGCTGGCAATCGACAGCTAGCTGGCAATCGACAGCTAGCTGGCAATCGACAGCTAGCTGGCAATCGACAGCTAGTGGCAATCGACAGCTAGCTGGCAATCGACAGCTAGCTGGCAATCGACAGCTAGCTGGCAATCGACAGCTAGCTGGCAATCGACAGCTAGCTGGCAATCGACAGCGTAGCCTGGCGGCGGTAGCGGGTAGCCCCAAAGCCATGTCCATTTAAAAACTGCATTCAAGAGCCTCTTATTGCTAGGTTTACAAGTTGTTTTACATTTGCAATTATAATTTCCTAGTTTTATTCACTCTCTACAGTCCCGTACTATCCCTTTTTCAGTCTGTAAAACAAACTTTGCAACACGAAAACAATGATGAACAGGGTTTTACTTCTCGTATAAATTTATTAGAAACGCCCTATGTCATTTGCACGAAGTGATACAAAGGGCCTTTCAAATTTAAGTCTATTGAAAGCATTCCCCACCTAGCCTGTATGACCGAGCACAATCATTTAGTGCTCAACAATAAAAATCCACAGTCTTGGCTAAAGAGGTCCATTATTTGTTTGTTTATTTAGTTATTTTATTTAATTGACATTGTACAGTACTATTAAATATCAGGTATATTGGATGCTCTGTTTTAAATACAGTCAAGATTGCCGAGCAATGAATTACATCCTGCTTCTTGTCCTCAAACCATATCTTTCTGGTTTTTTAAAACGGTATCATTTGAATTTCCATTTCCAAGCATTATTTTGAACTGTCCCGAAATTGTTTTACTTTCTTTAAATGAGACTACAGCCCCAGTCTAAAGTGCTTGTCCTCCCAGACAAGGACAAAGAGCTTCTACATAATAGACTACGCTATTTGATATGAATATCATTTGTTGTATTTCGATACCATTACGTCATCTTTCCTACGCCTGCCCGGCATGCATTACGAGCAACTTGCACGTTTCTATCGGTAGCGTATGAAGGTGCTAGGCTGGTATGAACATGAATAAACATGATTATATGACGTTACGATCCGTCATCTTTATTGCTCAGCTTGCGTTGTACAATGCAATAGACTGCGGTACAGTAGTTATGTAGTATCCTTATTAGGCGGTGTCACACAGAGGCCAAAAATCCGGATTTTAGTTATCCAGATTTTAGTTATCCTCTGAATTGCTGCCTGTCATCAATTATCTCATTAAAAAATCCTCTAACGAAGCAAAAAAATTCTGCCTTGAAAGGATTTTTCAAGGGATTTTTAAGCGATTTTTCTGTGTGACACCGCCTATTGTTTTACTGATCATTTTCGTAATATGTGTCATTTTCTAGAATTTCAGTCAGTGTTCTTGCTCCAGCATTGCACAAGCAATATAACCAAATTATGGAACTGTGAATGACTTCAAAATAAAAATTCATAGAATTAACGATAGATATTATTCTATTAATATATTATAGAGGTAGAAAATCTAATGATAACCTTGCTCTAATTATAAAATAGATGTTATTTCTATAGAGAGAAAGACATGTAAAAAGTTCCTTGGTGTCTATATCAATGAAAAAACTTGACTGGAGCGAACATGTAAAACACATCGTTACATCAATCTCCAGAAATATTGGCATACTGTATAGAGGGGGGGGGGGGGGGGGGTCGTGACCAAGCTTCCCCACTTTTTGTTACACTGAAATGCTTAATGAAAGGTTCGATGATAATTCCTCCAAATTGCCATAGTGTGTCACGGGGGTCTCAGCCATGTAGAAATACTGTAAGCATGCGTGACCACAGGTTTCCGAGACACCCCCTAAACGAGGATTTCTTCTGAAGCCAAAATATACCCTCAATGAGGATTTTGCGTGTTTTTTCCCCCTGACTTCACACCCTAAATTGGTATTTCAAAAAAGTGTACTCCTAAACAAGTATGTACAATTTTATCACCTTGAGCATTTTTAATTTGTATTTTACCTGTTTATATGCTTGTATTTATCTATTTTGTTTTTGATGCTGTTATTTGTTTTTATTATTACCACACTGGGCCTCATGGAAGACCACAACATTGGTTCCACCCTGTATAAATATCAGAAATAAATAAATAAATAAATAAAAGTGCTATATGAATTACCATTTAAGTTGTTGACAAAATGTGAAATAAATCAAATTGCGCTTTTGATGTTAAGTTCCCAATGAATCTAGACAATGAGGGTTAAGCCTAAGTCCACTCCAGAAATAATTTGCTTTTGATAGATGCAGAAAAACACTAAAAACACAGCAATGTACATTTGGGTAAAATCGGATAACTAATAATGAAGTTATGAATTTTTGAAAAAGGGTGACAAATAATGGAACAATGGAAATCACTACACAAACTGCCAATTTGGTCATCAGTTTGTGACGTCATTGCCTAACTATATATTTTTATCCCATTAATTTCCGTTTCTATCCCCCAAACTTAATTTCCCATGCCTTTGCCTATAAATTATGAGTTGTATTATATTGCGTTCATGGCATTTCAGAAAATCTTTTATGAACTTTACTATTTTCTGAATATTGTATATTTTATTATTGATTTTTATATAAATAGTTCATCTAAATTCATGGGTAGTAAGTACTATTTTGTTAATGCTCAATGGGAGGTCGGGGGGGGGGGGGGTTGCAGCTCCATTTTTTTTAAAATCAAGACCCCCCCCCCCCCCCCACACCCCCTCGTGAGCAAAAAAAAAATGCATTAAATTTGGATACATAACGAAAATAGCCTATTCAGAGAGTCGCTTGTTAAAGAAAGAGTATCACATGTTATTTTCTCCTTTGATTGGAAGGTGGGGGGGGGGGGGGTCCCATTAAAAAAAAGAGATGGACAAGTCAATATCATGGGGTGAAAAAACAAAATGATACAAATAAAATGGGGTCAGTAAAGGCGTAGCTGGGAATCTGGGAATGACGTTACAAAATATGCTTATTTACTGATTCTACGCTTTCGGGATACATATTTATTATTATTTTTGTTGTTCGATTGCCCATAAAAAGGCCCCTTTTAAGGAATGGCCACGTCCAAGGCTTTTTTATACATTGCCCACCCCATCCCTCGCAATAGGTCCCCATTTTATTTTATTTTTAGATCAACAACAACAACAACAACAACAACAACAACAATCGTTATGATATAACTCCAAAATTGGCCAAATAATTATATTTTAATTTCTGGCTTTCCCGGCAAAATAATTGTAAATATGTCGGAATTGAGATTTTCAGTCTTTATTTGATTAATTGGATTCTTTCTCTTGTCTCTTTTTGTCTCTCTCTATCTCTCACTCGGACTGAAAAAGTAATGAATGTAATTAGATCTAGAGTCTAGACTATGTGTGATGGATAAACCAGAATTGCTGTCAACTACTCAGTTGTGTATTAGTATTTATTACTTTATTTTGTTTACAAGTTCACTGTAAGCTCATCGCATCCCGCTTGTTCGCCGGTTGGCTGATTCGCCGCTAAATATTTTCTCACGAATTGGGCATAAAAAAAGAAAAAAGATTTGGTCTAATAGAGATAGTCTATATCAAAATTGCAATATCATAGTGTCGGTCGATCTAGGAGCTTCAATATGGCGGCGATACTGCAAAGAATGGGACCGGTATCAAATGTTATGGAGATTGTATAGCTCGGTGGTGAATCGGCGAAATGAAGTGACGAGCAGACTGGAACCTATTCTCATGCATTCACTCGTGTGTACACATATCCAATCGTACTCCCCAAATCGGAGTAATATCTACCCGCGTGCCGTGTGTGTTAATTTTTTGTGAGACATAGTCTACGGAAGTGAAAATAACCGCAAAATCATGAGTTTACCAGCTTTTATTAATATCCCCGAAGCCGAACAGGTAAGTTATGAAATATCTCCGTATAATGATCTTTAAATCTGACATTTATTTTCGTAATTATCGCTTTGTACAACAAGATTTATTTTGTTTCTTTATTAATTCCCACATATTGAAATACGTGTTTGTGAATGAAGTGATAGTAAAGATGCGAGTGATTTTTTTGGTTAGAATCCAAAATCCTAATTTAAAAAGTTTAGAAAATTGCGTCTTAAGAAAAAAAAATAACAGGTACATTGGAAAAAAATGTGCGTGAATATGCGGACGTTCATGGGGCACTAGAGGGAGCTTCACGTGCATACAGACATCTGAATGGCCTTCGGCTTCGCCTTCACTTCACTTTCAGACAACTTAGATAGGCAAATTCATGCAAAAAAATATATTCAAAAATTGACTTGAAAACACATCACACAATTAGTCTGAACCGAGTCAGGGGCAAATTTGAAGAAATTATATTTTTAAATGTTGTAAAACCAAAGATATAAGAAGAAAACTGACCAAGTATCTGTACTAAAAATCGTACATGTAAAATTGGTCGTAGACATTCGACAGCTGAATATGACGCGCACGGTTGCATTACGTGCGTTCTCGAATCCAAAATCGTACCTCACACACACAATATCGCCATACCGCGAATGGTCCGTCTTGGGGAGCTAGCCGGCTGAGAGTTTGCAGCGATACCAACGCAGCTTCGGAGCTCCGCAGCGCGCCATTTTAGCGGGACTCGGAAACGTTTGCGATGGGAAGGCAGCAGCCTAGCTTTTTGCCCAAACAACGCTAGATCGGCAGCTGGCAAAATGAAAATAACTACGATCGAGAACATCGTCGGTTTCTTAACTTTTCAGTGAGATAATTCTGAATTCTAATTGAGACTATATAATAAATTAAATCGACAAAGAAACCTCGGTAGAACTACAAAAGCTTGTTTATTTCTTCATTTGACATTTTATTTTCAACCATTTTTTCGTGCGCGAGTCAATGTAAACTATGTATTACCAAACTTTCAACACGCAAGGAACGGGGAACACTCACGGACCTCGTAACAAATTCGTTGCAAAAAAAAAATTCAAGGGTGATTTTGAAGCAGTGAAGAACATTGGCGCTGCAATGCGCGGAAATATACTTGAAAGAAACTTAAAAAATAATACCTGAATTTTCAGAAAATCGTATTTGTATTAGTGTACCTAGATGTGACTTGTTTATAAATCAGATTTTATGAAGATTTGTCGGGAAAAAATGTCAATTTTTTCCGTTTGGTGGTCATTTCTAGGCTAATATTTTAAAAGTTGCATCAGTAATGGGCCCGATGTTTCTCTTATCGTACTCGCATGTTATTTCTACATAGATTAAACATAAGATGGTTAAGGGTAAGACCAGATAACATTATAAAAAAGATATATCCTTCCACCCTCCCATATCCAAGTTTTGGGCTGATTATTGCCGACCCACCGCAGCAAGGCCATTCAGATTTTCGTACGCGCGCAAAGCGCCCTCTAGTGCCCCATGAATGTGCCTAACTTAGACCCTACTCTATAGAGTAAAACTTAAGGAGGGGTTTTTCGGCCACTTAAGACAAAATTCTATTTTTTGGACTCTTTACTTCCTATTTATTATCATTTCTTGTTCAAATCATGAAGCAAATATTCTTATTATTTGAACAAAAAAAGAATCCCAGAAAAAAATCATGAATTGCCATGACAATATTCATTTCAATTTTCACTATTTCGGAGCCAGTTATCGGCAGAGCGAACCAGTTTTCAGCTGCATGTACAATGTCAATAGGAAGCCCGCATGCCCGCGGATCAGCCGAAAACTGGCGATGGTCGAATACCCCCTCCTTTACTCTATAGTCTAGTCTAGTCTATGATTAGATGAGTCGCCAATAATCAGGCCAGGTGGACAGTAGGGGCGCTGGTCCGAGAATAAGGATCGTCTTCATAAACGAGGATCGTCTTCGTAAACACGGACCGATGCGTCCTCAAAAATAAGGACCGTCTGCATTTTTGCAGACGTTTCATATTTTTGATCGGTGCATTGGCGATACAAAAACGGATTCTGCAATGATTTTCTTGATGCATTTTACATTGACATTGTACAGAGACTTTCACATTATAAGCAATAAATCCTTGGGAAGACGGACAACCCATGAAAGTAGACGGTGAACTAGGGTTATTTTCCCCGGGGAATCCATTTTTGGCATCGCCAGCAGGCCGTTCTGTAACATGAAACCCCCAGAGCGCCGATGAAAAAAAACGTCCTCAAAAATGCAGACAACCCTTATTTTTGAGGACGCATTTTGTCCTCGTTTATGAGGATATCCTTGTTTATGAGGACGATCCTCATTCTCGGACCAGCGCCCCTACTGGTGGAAGGATATATCTTTTGTATGTTATCTTGTCTTACCCCTAAACTTTCCTATGTTTAATGTTAGTAGACATTACATGTGAGTGTAAGTAGAGAAACATCAGGCCCATTGCCGATGCAACTTTCTAAATGTTAGCGTAGAAGTAGTAGAAATGACCATCAAACGGAAAAAATTGACACTTTTTCCGGCAAATCTACAATTTTTACAAAGAGTCTGGGGTGTTAAAAAATGGCAACTGCCACCGGCGGTAATACAAAAACAATTTTCTGAAAATTCAGTTCTGATTTTTAAAGTTTCTTTTAGGTGTTCACCTGCACGTCTCTTCGCCAACTGTCATCACTGCTTCAAAATCACCCTTGAAATTTTTTTCACAATGAATCTGATACCAGGTCCGGGAGTGCTCCCGTTCCGACCTTGCGTATTGAAAGTTAGGTCATACAGATTGCATTGACTGGCACATGAACAAAATGTCAAATGGAGAAATAAACAAGCATTTGTATAGTTATTAGAGATGTACCGAAGTTGTTTGTCAGTCTAATTTATTATAATATAGTCTCAACTCTCAATTAGAATTTAGATTTCTCTCACTTAGAACCCTTAGATGTTCTTGGCCATTGCTACTTTCATTTTGCCAACAGTTGATCTAGCGTTGTTTTGGCAAAAAGCTAGCCCGTTGTCCTTCCCTCCGCGAACCTTTCAAGTCCCGGTAAAATTGTGCGCTGCGAATCTGCGATGGTGCCATTCGTGTTCCGGGGAGAGCATTTTTCGCAGTACAATTTTGGTTTAAAAAACTCTTATTACGCACCCGTGCGCGTAACGGCCGTCACCAATCAACTGTTGAATGAAAATTTAGAGGGACAATTTTACATTTACGATTTTTATTACAAATAATATATCTTGTCAGTTTTCCTCTTATTTCTTTGGTTGTACAGCACCTAAATAACAATTTTGTTTTGAAATTTGCTCCTGACGTGGTTCAGACTAATTGTCTGATGTATTTTCAAGCCAATTTTGTGAATTTATTTTTTGTATGTATTTGCCTACTAACATGTATGTTTTAGGACGCGATTTGTCTGCAGTTACAAAGATATCCTTGTTTATGCGGACGATCCTTATTCTCGGACTAGCACCCCTACCATTCATTAGTTGCGATTATAGTAGATGGGATTCATTTGCTGCTCAAAATAATTAAACATTTCTTTTGTATACATGTACATACGTCATCTTTTCAATTATGACTGTAAATGTATTTCTCCTGCATAAGCCCTGTACCTAGTTAGGTCTAGATTTTTTCTACCAGTGCCGTTTGTCATTTGTGCAATTCATGTCTGAAATCAGTGAGAACTTAGTTACCTGTGTGATGGCATATGAGCTACACAATATCAATAAAAATTCTTTCAAAGTAGCAATGATCACCCCTTGGAAATGATTTCAAACAAGTTAAAAAAAAGACTATAAAATTATGTAATTGGTTGTGCTTTTTCACCTCTTTCATTTGTAGGAGCGTGAAATTTTGCACTATCACAAACCAAGATGTTTGGATAGGCATTATTGTAATACAAAAAAAAAATTGAAGGGTGAATGCTTCAAGATAAGGTTCATTGATTTAAAAAACTAACTTTAATGTCATCATTGCAAAGGTGACACTTTGATTGGCCAAGGTTATCAAAAGCCAGTGCTTGGAAACATTCGAAGTAATGATTATTAACAATTACAAAATGCTTAGATACAGCCCCGACATAGCACCTGAAAAGCTCCCCGGTCGCTGCTGAGATATGACGTCACATGTTGAACATGATGTGCACAAGCAGACGATGTCCCATGACATCTCACACAATTTCAGTGCCTGTTTTGTTATCTTTTCTCCAGTTATTTCTCTTACTTCAATACCTTCAGGCAAAATGTTTAATCTATTGCCTCACTCTTAACCCCGTGCATGGTATTATTTTGATGAAAAAATGCAAGGATTAAAAAAAAAAGGAATCCGTCGCTTGTAAACAAAATAAGACGCCATTGTATTTTCAGCTGCATACACCACGGCGGGTTCGGCGTTTCAAGAGGGAACAATAATGACGTCCAGCTATCATTCCGGAGGTTTTTTAATTTGAAAGTGTGGTTTCTTTGATCGTTCATTAACCCATATCCTGTGTATTTACAAACAAAAGAATTTAGTTATCAGAATGGGGGTCATATCCCTTTTTGAATGGTGTAAAATTCCATCACATTTATATACACTAAACTCATTATAATTTGAGAAATATAAGCATTGCAATTATGTTCATTCTTTATGGGATGTCGTCTGCTTGGGCAGGGTTGGTTCATATCCCAGATGCTATGGAGGTTGTTTTATTTGTATTTTTATAAACCACCCGATATGTAGTTGACCTAAAACTTGCATAATAGTCATCTAATAGCTTACCAGTTTCTAGTAATACGCTATTTGCCGTATTTGTGATTTTCTATGAACCCGCACTTTCACAAAACTAATGTTACTTGATTTGATGTGATTTTCTTCTGCATTCATGTAAGTACACAGTTTTTCGATATAAATAATAATATACAAAGTACAATAAATATTTTACTGACAATGAATCATAAATAAGCAAATACATATATAAATTGTTATTTTCAAAACCGAAATGATAAACTGTTATAAATAATAAATTTCCTCAAACGTTATATAACATAAAATTGTTTGCGGAAGAGGGACTGTCATTGTAAGCAGATTGCTTGATAATACAACAGCCCCAGACAAAACTCATGAAATGGATTAACACATTTATTAGGCAGAAACGAATAGGTAATTGAAACTACTTGGCTCCTGCTCTCACACCTCGCTTTCCGACTGGATCAACCCCTCACTCTTTCACAATCTCTCTCTCAGTTTCATACTTGACCTCTATGTTGAATCTTTGACTATAAACTCAACAATTCTTTGTATATACAGTATATACTATCAACACCTAGCTGCATTACTATCCTGGCTGTGTATTAAAAGCTGTGCTATTGATTCTCAACATTTCAAAGACCACTGTACAAAACTCAACTGATTTCACTCAAAAACGGTACTTTAGTGACAAATGATGACACCTAAATAGCAGTAAAATACAATTTTTCAACTTACCGATGTTAGAAAGAATAATTAAATAATTAAAACTGTAAGGCTACTGTCAAACTTGCCAATCAGCCACATCGGCATGATTGTTTGCATTTGTGTAAATATAATTGTATTGACTATTCATGTGTGCAAATACTGCCTATTTACACGTAGTGCAGTGCTAGAGGTCAACACGCATTAGCATTGACTCTCTATGCTTTGCTGGAGTGTGTAAACTCACTAATTCTTTGTTTATGTGTACTATCAACACCTGCACCAACTGCAGTTCTCCAGACTGGAGGAAAGGCAAGCAAAAAAGAGGAAAGTTATCTAAACATGAAATATGCATGTATTAATATCTTTTTCATTCTTCAGGCCGGGGAGCTGAGGTCGTTCCTGAGGGAAAAGGGAGCAGATATCTCAGAGACGATGAGTGAGGAGGGTCTAGAATTAGACCTTGAAGCAGTCATCGATAATGTGGGAGTCGTCTGGAAATTACCAGATGTGAACGGTAAGGGAAAAAAAAGCACATTTCAGAATTAAAATTCACACATTTCAATATTAAAGTTCACACATGTTTTTAATTTTGGCAGTCAGGATTATTAGTTTTGCAAGAAGACAATATTACAATGATTGATTGTTTTGTAATAACCTTGATACCAGTTGTTGAAATTGACTATAACATAGTTTTTGAGATTCTTCTCGATTGACTTTGACGATCATGCTCTTCCACAACCCTAGGCTCCTAGCCTTCTGTATTAGCACCACTCCCAGTTCTTTCACTCCTCTCTCTTCTAACAATTTCTGCAGACTTAGATAGCATATTGATTAGAAAGAATTAGGCTTATATACACCATGTATAAGAAAGGTTTGATTTATGTTTTGGTGGTCTGTGGAGTAGATTTCACATGACATGGAAGCACCCATGAAAATGATGAAACTTATTGAGAATACTAGCTTCAGTGGGTTATGATTTTACAGGCAATTTTTATTTGTCTTCTAGAATAGGAATGAATAAATAAACATTGATAGATGATGAGTCTAGCTCTGATAGTTTGCTGTATTCTTAGTTCCTAACTACAGCGATTACCGCTATTCACATTATATGTTGTTCATGTTATGAACAATTCATTACAACAACTGATACAGTTTTAAAACTCATGAGGTACCAACCAAATAATGGAATGACTTCAATGTTGTAACATGTTGCAGATAACAAGTTTCATAAACTGCCATAGTATCAATATTCGATTTGAAATAAACCTTTTTAACACGCTTTCTTTGTCTATTTCCTTTACAGAAATTGAAGGTGTTTTCAACAGTATCCTGTCTCTTCTCATCTACTTTCCACAAGAAACGATGGAAAAACTTGTCCCTAAATTCAGCGAACACATCACCAAGTCAGGCACAGCCGAGCAGTCATACATCAGAATCAAAATGTACGATGCCATTTTATTTATTTCTAATCTTTTGCCCATTCACCAATAAGTAGTGGTCTTTCATGGGGCCCTTAATAAACAACATATTTACATCAAAAAGCATAATGTTTATACAGTACGGTTAAAATACAAAAATATAGTACATTTAGAAAGATATAACACAGCAATGATAGACGTGGCTCAAACAAATGCTTGTTTGCAAAATAAACATATATCATTAACCTAATAATAAACATATATTGTTTCCCCTTTTCTTGTCTTCCAATATTCAGTTGTAAAGCTAGAATTCAGTACAAGTACCTGGAAATGGTTCTTGATAATGTCTTCTCTTGTTACGTTCCTTCCTCTACTGGCAGTTTTTTTTAACCTGTTGAATACTGAATTCACTCATTCCCATACGCATAACACAGGGACCATTCAGCTCCAGTAGACGATGGGTTAATAATATAATGGTCGTGCACAGGAATACAAAGGGCTACATGCACACAGTACCTTCCCCTATTTGATCTACATTTGCCACACTCAACCCAGGTGATGTAAATGGGTACCTGGCAGAAATTAATTTCTTGAAATGCTAGAGCGCCGTAATGGAAGCACAGCTAAAGCTGGGGTAATAATCTCCAAGTTTGGAAGTGATTGCAATAAGCGCTATATAAAAACTGAGTATTATAATTATTATTATTTCATGATATTTATATTTGTCTTTCAGTTTGAATTGTTTATTTCATTGCATTGGAGAGACACACTCACATGCCTACCATGCTGTGAATAGCCCTTCGTCTGTGAAATATGAACGACATATGTCATATATATCTTGATGCTAATTTTTTAAAATTAGATTGATGATTACATGTACATAACATTGCTCATTTGCTACATGTGTAATTTTGCACAAAATGACTGGCACAAATTGACTAAAGTTTACTTTGTACAGCACTATAGCTTAGCAAAATCACCCATTTCTGGTCTAAATTACATGTAGTTCCATGACACCCTTTTCACACAGCTATAAACTACATGTGTGTAATCTTCCAGTGGAAACAGTTTAATAATCTTGAAGCCTATATCTATCCCATGATGAATACAGACCGGGGTAATAATATACTTATCTGTAAAGCGCTTTGAGAGGGCCTTCGGTCCTGAAAAGCGCTATATAAGAACTAGCTATTATTATTATTATTATTATTCATTCATTCATTCGTTCATTCTTTCATTTTTGCATTTTCTTTCTTATGTAAAGGTACACGATTCTTTGTCATGATGTAATGTGTTGCCTAATATTTTGAAGCGCCTTGAGCATTTAATTAAAATGGATAATGGCGCTATATAAATCTCATGTATTATTATTTTGTGGCATATAAAGAGTTGATTGATTTCTTCTTGTTTCTGTTCTGCAGATTGAATAGTTTATTTCATGGCGTCGGAGAGACGAACCCTCTTGCATACCACGTCTACACCGGCATGTTAAGAGTTGCTGCTAAATATGAAAACATCGATCAAGTCGTCACAGATTTAGACAAGGTATGATTCTGATTTTGGTTGTTGATGGTAGATATAATTTAGAGGTGTTGTAGTCGAGTGGTTTCAACACTTGAATGGGAATGCAAAGGTCATGGATTCAAGGCACGGACCTTGGGTCCTTTGGCCAGACATTTATCTACAATGGCCACTCTCCACTCGGGTGTTAAATGGGTACCCAGTAGGATGAGAATTTTAATGTGGTTGGCATGGCGTGTGGCGTGAATACTCCTTATGGAGCGGAGCGTGTGTGCTATCATGAACAGATTAGCAATTGTATCCAATGCCTGGGGTATTAACAAGTACAATGTAAAGCACTTAGAAAAGTAGTTTTAAGCGCTATCAAGATGTTAATATTATTATCATTATTTTACCTTACTGCTATAAGAAGTTTATGCCTGTAAATAATCAGTTTAAGTCCAATGTTAGGGACTTGATGAAAATGTTCCGTACCAAAGGGTATAAATTCATCGACTTGGTTTTGAATCAGGTTACGAGACCTCTGCTCAATTTTAGAGCTGCTACATTTCCTTATGTACCATTTAACTTGATGACTGAAATAACTTTATAGTTTATGTCCCACAAACTGGCAAAATCTTATGGGGAAAGGTCATTTTCATATGCAGCCACTAATTTATTGAATAGCTTGCCGGAATACCTTAGGAATACAGAAACCTATGAAAAGTTTGGAAGGAATTTGAAAACATATCTATTGAGCACTTTGTAAGATCTTACAGTTATTAACCCAGTGTACCATTGTCACTCCTTTTGTGTTCTGTTCTGTAAAGCTCATAGAGACTTGCAAATATGTGAATGTGTTATGGGCTATACAAAAAAACGTTAAATAATTATTATTATTCTCTTTTACTCTTCTTTGTCATAGGTGAAGAAATGGACCATTCAGTGGGAATTGAATCGAGACAGAATCAACAATGTCTACAGGCTGCTGTATGAGGGGCTCAAAGAAAGCAAGCATGGGTAAGTTTATTATTTTGTTTGATGATGATTGTTTTACCTGACTGCCAAAAGAAGCATGTACAGTCAAACCTGCTTTAGTGACCACCTGTATACAAAGACCACCTGTCTAGAACGACAACATTTTTTGTTTCTCCTGAAAACGGTTTTTAATTGAAACATTGTAGGTATATATGCACATGTACATAAAAGACCATGGGTGGTATTCTCATAAGTTAAGCTGGGACTAAGTCCAGACTAAACAAGAATTTTAGTTCACACTTCTATGGAATGCTAGGTTTCATCTTCGTCCTTCAATATTCATGACAAAGATAATCTACCACAGACTTTGTTGAAATTCAGTTCATACTCATATTATCTTTTTCTTCCCATTTCATTGCAAAAAATTATTTTTTTGTACACTTTTCATTGCAGGATTAAAATAATATGTACAAGGTAAATGAGTTGGCAACTGGCGCTCCATAAAAGTGTGTACTAGTTAAGCCAGGATTAACTTAGTACGCGCTATTGGAATACCACCCCATCTGCCTATAAAGACACCACTTTTCTTGTCTCCCTTGGGTGGTCTTTATAGACAGGTTTCACTGTACATTGTATATGCTTGTTAGGCGAGGCGTCAAAAATAAATATACCAGCCAGCGGCAGCTAACTGCACTTGTGCGTCCTGGCTGCATTTTTTTAATTAGCTCAGCCGGCTACCGCTGGCGGTAAGACCCTCAATTAACTCATGATGTCATCATAATGGTCTCCGAACAAAAGCATGCGCCGGCTGCCGCCTTTCGAATGGAAACCGAGCCTCAGATCCCAGCCTGGCGCAAGCCGGCTGGGCTAATAAGTGAAAAATAATTGCCCCAGCCAGGCTTCGGCCGTAATTGCAGCCTCGATGCGCCAATACGTGAGGCGGCAGCCTGCTGGTATCGATATTTTTGACGCCTCGCCTTAGTAAGCAGCCAGCAAATCTGATATGCATCTTCCCTTACCGGGAATAAGCCAATGTACATGTAGCAATTGTAGATTTCCAAGGAGCTTTGAAGGAGGGCAATGCGTTGCAGGGTCATAACTTCTTTGTTTATATTAATTGTTTAGTGTAAATGTAGTGACATATTTCATTTGTAGAACAGATTTATCAGTCATTTCAATGCATAGAAAATGAGAGAAAATGTATAACTATGATATATTCCTCTATCTCTCTCTCTTTTTCTCTCTCCCCCTCTCTCTCTTGTTCTCCCCCTCCATCCCTCCCATCTCTCTCGTCTCTCCTTCACTCCTCTTCCTCCCCCTCTCTCTTCCTCCCCCTCTCTCTTCCTCCCCCTCTCTCTTCCTTCCCTCTCTCTTCCTCCCCCTCTCTCTTCCTCCCCCTCTCTCTTCCTCCCCCTCTCTCTTCCCCCCCTCTCTCTTCCTTCCCCTCTCTCTTCCTCCCCCTCTCTCTTCCTCCCCCTCTCTCTTCCTCCCCCTCTCTCTTCCTCCCCCTCTCTCTTCCTCCCCCTCTCTCTTCCTCCCCCTCTCTCTTCCTCCCCCTCTCTCTTCCTCCCCCTCTCTCTTCCTTCCCCTCTCTCTTCCTCCCCCTCTCTCTTCCTCCCCCTCTCTCTTCCTCCCCCTCTCTCTCTCCTCCCCCTCTCTCTCTCCTCCCCCTCTCTCTTCCTCCCCCTCTCTCTTCCTCCCCCTCTCTCTTCCTCCCCCTCTCTCTTCCTCCCCCTCTCTCTTCCTCCCCCTCTCTCTTCCTCCCCCTCTCTCTCTCCTCCCCCTCTCTCTTCCTCCCCCTCTCTCTTCCTCCCCCTCTCTCTTCCTCCCCCTCTCTCTTCCTCCCCCTCTCTCTTCCTCCCCCTCTCTCTTCCTCCCCCTCTCTCTTCCTTCCCCTCTCTCTTCCTCCCCCTCTCTCTTCCTCCCCCTCTCTCTTCCTCCCCCTCTCTCTTCCTCCCCCTCTCTCTTCCTCCCCCTCTCTCTTCCTCCCCCTCTCTCTTCCTTCCCCTCTCTCTTCCTCCCCCTCTCTCTTCCTCCCCCTCTCTCTTCCTCCCCCTCTCTCTTCCTCCCCCTCTCTCTTCCTCTCCCTCTCTCTTCCTTCCCCTCTCTCTTCCTCCCCCTCTCTCTTCCTCCCCCTCTCTCTTCCTCCCCCTCTCTCTCTCCTCCTCTCTCTCTTCCCCTCTTCCCCTCTTCCCTCTCTTTGTCCCATTCTCTCTCTCTCAGGGATGAAGCCAGTGTGGTGATGGTGGAGCTCTTGGGGACCTACACCGAGGACAACGCCTCCCAGGCTCGTGATGAGGCCAACAGGTGTATCGTCAGCACCATCGCCGGCCCACAGGTCTACCTCTTCGATCACCTCCTCACCCTCAGACCGGTCAAGTTCCTGGAAGGAGAGAGGATTCATGATGTGAGTAGTTGTTGTTGTTGTTGTTGGGTTTATTGGCACTATCAATACACCAGTTTACAGTTGTGTGCGCCATTTTAAACAAAGCCAATGACCTAGAGGTCATGTATTTATGCGTAAATTAAGATTGCGCCCATGCAAATTTTGATGATATCACTGCCTACGCGCTGCGTTGTGCGCGCACATCATTATTTGCATGGGCGCAATCTTAATTTACGCATAAATACCACTGGTCAAAGCTTATTGGCCCCGCTTCCGGGGCCAATGACCCGAGGTCAACTGTCTGCGCATGCGCACAGATACAACTGTAAACTGGTGTATTGATTCTGATGATTTCCGCCAGGCTTGGTGTGAGAGGGCGTCTTGCTCTCTCTTCTGCAGCTCTACTTATGTTTGTGTGATTATGATACTTGCCCGGCCCGGCCTGTGTGAGATAAAGACTTGTCTTGACCTTTGTTATTGGCGTAGTGCAAGGCTATGGAGGATCTTTTGGCAAGACATTTGTCACTCTCCACTCAGGTATAAATGGGTACCTGGCTAGTGCTGGTGTGAAATTTCAGGGCCCTCATGAATAACAGGTTAGTGTGGTGATGAGGTTTCCCGGGCATGCCTTGGTAAACAAAATTATTATCATTTTTATTATCATCATTATTACAATTATTATGACTATTATCATAAGAATGAAATATGTTAGCCAATCAGAAGCACAAATGGTCCACAAACAAAGACCCGTTTTCAAAACCCGTTATTTTAATTGAGTCACAAGGCTTTCATTGCGATTTACCATTGACTTTCCTCAATATCAATGCGCGGCACAGCATAATTACGAGAGTAACCATCGATTACCGGACAAAGAAAGGGAGAGTCAAACATGGAGGGGCTTTCAGGTAGAGCCAAAGAGAGCAAGAGAGAGAGAGAGAGAGAGAGCTGTAGTTTGTTTATGTGTTGTGGGTGTGTACGATGGAGAAAGGAAGAGACAGAAAGGAATATTTCCTTTTGTTTAAATTATTTATTTTGTATAGTCAAGCAATCTTCATCATGTCATTGCTTACCGTATTGGTGTTGAAGGTAGGTCTTTGTATAATGCCCTCCATTATATTCATTCTTCCATAATCGCAGTGGAAAAATTGTATCAATGCCACTTATTTGCGACAAACTATAGGTTTGAAACGATGATACTTAAATCAATCTAATAAATACAACCAAATTAAATCAAATCATATATGTTTATGAAAAAAGTAATGTTTATCATTATAATCATCCTCACTTCTAGATAAGTATTTTGTTTTGGTCATTAATATAGAACCAACCGCTGACGGATTCGAGATTCACTTCCAGGTCAACTATCTGTCACACTTCCTGTTGATCCTGCATTTACTTCCGGTGTTGAAGGCGACAGGTAACGATACACGGATCGTTTTAATATCGTCGTTGATGCATCGGTTCTCAAAATGGGACCCTCATGATATACAGTGCTTCAACGAGAAAGATAAGATGACTGTTTATGGAACGACAAAATTATACCAGGTGAGTGTCACGCATATATAAATTGGCGCTCATTGGGAATTCGACACCATTCTGGTGTTAACCTATAATAACAGGTGTTGTCGATCACCAAGATCGAAACAAATTCAGTTTTATATGACCAACAGGCCTTATGTAATGCTCGTTATTTTCCACTAATGGTCCCATGTGGAAAGATCATGTATAACATTTTCCTCACCCGAAGACTCTCTGAGAAAGTATTTTATTATTATGGGACTACAGATATTCTGTGTGCAAGATTTCCACCAAGTCTGGTGTCAGTTTACTATGACCTACTGCGCATGGAAAGTGATGACCTTCTCCCTTTAAGTGTCATGACCTTAAGAAAATTGTATTCAATAAGTTCAATAAACTATTCCGGGTTTTACTTCAAGGTCAAGTATAAGGTCAACGAGAATTTACTACTAACTATAAACTAAATCTCCTATTAGGGTACATAGTAATATTAAACGTCTGATTTGCTGGTTAGGCGTCTTGTGTCATATTCGCCTGTGTTCTAAATCTCCCCTCGCCAGGTGTATGTATACCTATAACTAAACGATACGAGTACCTAACTCCTTAGACATGTGCATGCAAAATTGAAGGCGAGAGGGAAGTCGTGAGAGACTTGAACATAATTTATTTAGAGCTCTATCAAATTTCGTCAAATAAACGTGAATTTTTTAAAAGACGAGTTGATGTATGATCATGGATGCAAATATATGTATATATAAGTACATATATTACAAAGATTGTCAAGAAATTAATTTTCAATACCCGGCAAATTGTATTACCTAAAGAAAATGTTTAGGACTTAATTGCCATTGTCGTGTGTGCACTTCAATTACCATACGTGGCGCTCAAGTCTCTTAAAATATTGCCTTTGGATTATTTTTCTGACCTTTTTTCAATTGTTTTTTTTCTCCATAGATTATGCAGATGTTTTCTTTAGCGAGAAGATTGGCGGGGTCAAAGGTCAGCGTGTTTTCTGTTCACCCTGGGGTCGTTGCTACAGAGATCAACTCCAGGGAAGACCAGCCAGTCACACGAAGTACCAAGATCTTCCTGTGGGCGACTAAGTCATTAAGTATGCCACTCTTTAGATGAAGTTGAGTTCTGGCCATGCGATTGCATTGTGAAAGAAACGGTGTGGAATCGACCAGAAAAGATTTATCATCTAGCATATAAGAATTTGTGTGTATTGCAAGGTTCTGGAATCATCAAAATGATAAGAAATTGGCCAAGTCTTGATAAAGTTACAAACACTGTACACGAAAAGATGTATATGGGACTACACGAACACGTGGCGTAAAAAACCTACCCCCGAGTTTTACGATGTACATGACATATTTAGAATATGAAGGCATTTGAAGAGCCATGCTTTTCAGAGAACATGTCTTATCTGATGTTCTTCCACACTTGCATAATACGAATGATAACGCTCACAAATTATTTTTTACCTCTTCTCAGAACTCAACCTTCTCTTTAAACAAAATTACCATTTACACTAATGGCAAAAGCGTCGGTTCTTGATCATTCGATCTGGTGTTATGATGTGTTGTGCACAAGCGCCCCTGTCAACCAGCCACAAGAAAAACCAAGATTTTCCTGACGGCAACCAAGTAATTCAGTATGCCACTCTTTATAGGGCCATTCAAATTTGGTAAATTACTATTTGCACTACTGGAAAAATCCATACTGGAAAGAAAAAGAAAACAAAAATCGTCGATCTTTGATGAAAAGCCAGTTCATAGTTGCAGTCTGAGCATGAGCAGATAAAAGTCATTGCAGAAAAAAAATGTGAAATACACGGAGATAAAATATATAAATACTGGATACATGCTCATGAAACGGATGCATATTTAATAGTGGTAAATCGATCTTATTTTGGAACAAAATGTGATATCATTTAATATGAACATGTTAATTTAATGGCCGAGGATCTAAATTACAAGGGGTTTAATGCTTCTTTGGAGAGGGAAAATTAAATCGGTTTGGAGTCGATGATTTTTTTTCCGTTATTCAGCAAATTATAGTGCTTACGTATCAAATAAAAGTGTTTGGTTATTTTGCAGAAATTTTTCTGTTACTTTCTACACTATAGGAATGATGAGAAATCCTTTCGACGGTGCGTTGACGGGACTTCACGCCGCGGCCAATCCGGTGTATGATGGGAAGACAGCGCTGTATTTCGAGAGCTCAAAGCCACATAATCTCACCGCTCTGCCAAGGTAAACCTTATATTATATTAATTATGATTTTGGAATTTGGGGACTACGACAACCTCCTACTTAACAAAAAATATATTGACATCCATCCGCTTAACAACAGCCAAGTAATGAAATATTCTAAAATATGCTTAACTATATGCTAAAACATAATGCCTAACAAAGACACATTGATTAAACATGTTTTAGGCTAAAACATGTTTAATCAATGTGTCCTTCTCGTGTTCATCCTGATCATAAATTCATAAACCATTTTGAACTTCACCGACATCTTTTCGTAGTTCAAAAACATTAGAGTTACAACACCAAAACGCGGAATGTGCTATGTCCCATAAATGTTTAAGGTTTAGCCCTTAAAACCTCGTCTTTATATCCTTCTTTTCATTTTCCTTTTAGAGACGAGGCGAAACAGGAGATCTTATGAAATTATACCCTAGACTGTCTCAAGGAGTACGTCACAGAAGAGATGCTTCATGAACTAAACGTAGTCTGATATTTGACAAGAATGCGTTTCATATAATTATTTACTTTAAATTATATCATCCACACAAATTATATTGGAAAAATTAGTTTTTTTTTAAAGACGTCATAATGACATCGTCACTGCATGAATGCGACAAAATTATCTTGGAAAAATAGTCTTTTAAAGATGTCATGATGACGTCGTAATTACGTCGTCCGTATGACGTGTTTACCACTTTACGACCAATTTACGACAGTCTTCTATCACGATATATGTTAAAATTGTATTAATATGTTATGTATGCCTGGCTTTCTAAAGGTAAACGGGTAAGAAATACGAAAGAAATACAGGATAACATTTTTATGTATAATAGGGAGCGCACGGAACCTAAGCCGGACAGGATGAATTTCATGTTTCCATTTATATAATATTGACTGGCCTTGAGGGGTATATCAGAAATATTGACCAAGCGCAGATCATATTGCCCCGAGTCGAAAGACGAGGCAATATGGTCTTAGCGCGGTCAATATTTCTGATATCCCCCGAAAGTAAAGCCAGTCAATATTTGTATTGTTATCCAAATCAGACATCTAGAGCAAATACAGAAATCCACCATGACAATCTCAAGAACTGAACAAACTTTGTCAAACCAGCACTGTGCATCCCGCGGCTTGACACAATTTTCGTTACGCTGCAAACAGTGTGCATTTGGTGTGATTATTACGTCACAATAGAGTGCGCGCAAAGTGCACAGGTTCTCGTACGCATAATAGATGCGCAATGAAAATGACAAAATACGGCGCGGAGGCTTAAACTTGAGAAATATATCGAAAGCAGAATGATAAACTTCTGGGGGTGTTTCACAAAGATCCTAAGTTGAACTTATCTCTAAGTTGGACTTAAAAATTATGGAAAGCCATTAGCATCCTTGAAAACATTTTGTAAAAGTTATTTTAAAAGACATAAAATGTTGATTCAAATCATTCATATTTTCTATTATCATGGGAGATTCACTGTTCTTGATGTGGAATTTATAAAAAGTCTAAAATACTTGAATTTCTGCTTTTGAATATATTTCATTTTAAGGCTCCAATGGCTGTCCATAATTTTTAAGTCCAACTTAGTGTTAAGTTCTACTTAGGATCTTTGTGAAACACCCCCCTGGTGTAGGATTGTACATAGTGGACAGGATAAATTTTCTGGTAAGGTGTATATTATCTTAAAATTACTCTTTGAGAAGAATATATATCAGGCACCTTGGTTAAAAAAAATCAAGCTGACTCTGGACAATATGGGGATGTCTAATTTATGGGAAATTTGTGAAAATACTAGCTATGAGTGGGTCAAACAAACTGTGGAACGTCGATTGAGAGATTCTCATGCTCAGTATTGGTCTGCTTGTATGTATGCTAATTCGCATTGTGTTAACTATCGAATCTTCAAACATTCTTTATGTTTAGAAAGATACTTAATCGATCTCATTAAAAGAGATCGGACAATATTAAGTCGTTTTCGTTGTGGCAATCATTACCTGCCGATTGTAGCTGGTAGATATTCAAATACTCCAAGGGAAATGAGGCTATGTACGCTGTGCAATTTGCAATCGCTTGGGATAAGTTTCATTACTTGTTTGTATGCCCTACCTTTCGTTCAGAAAGAAAATTGTTCATCGATAAATATTTCATTGAAAGACCAAATACACTGAAAATGGATCAGCTTTTTAACTCCAATAATGTACAAACACGTTTAAACTTAGTAAAATTCTGTCGAAAAATAATGCTTCGTTTTCATTAATTTAAGTATGTGCAAAAACATGTTATGAGTTCAATATTAACTTTATGTTTCTCTTTTTTGTCTTATATCAATTTATTAAATTGATATCAAGAATATTTTCAGTAATTCATTAATTCAGATATCAATTTACTGGTGCCAGTAAATTTCTTTTTCAATTGCTTCCATTAATTTCGTCATTAATTATCGTTTTAATTAATATTATCGTTTTGTTTTTGATTATTATTATTATCATCATCAATATTGTTATCATTATCATCATAATTTTTCTCACTATTGTCGATAGTGTTATTTTGTATGGATTAACATTAATTCTATTTGTATTGTATATTTCACAGTGTTTAATTGACAAATTCAAACTGATTGTAAACTTCTCCAATACCCCAATGTGGGTGACATGAGAATAAATTGTCATTGTCATTGTCATTGTCATTGTCATTGTCATTGTCATTGTCACAAGATGCCTGGATGCGAGAGACCGTGGAAAATACCAAGGTATATTTTCACTCGTCTCTACATGCAAAGTCAATACGCGCAGGGAGACCAAGGAAAATACAAAGAATATACTCCTCCGTTCCCACTGCTAGTGAAAACTAGGGCAATACGGTTTTGTAAATGACCAGCTCAGATGTCTGATACGGGTAATAATCCATCACATTAGTCATCTGCACAAATAAATTAAGATTACATAAATATATTTTGAAAGGGCGTACGATATACTATGTTCATATGCTTTATATAATAAGAGAGAGAGAAAGAGAGAGAGAAAGAAATAGAGGGAGAGAGAAAGAGAGGGAGAGAGAAAGAGAGGGAGAGAGAAAGGGAGAGAGAGAGAGAGATAGGGATAAATAATTAATATGAGGGAGATGGATACGGTCACGGTCGCTGATACAACAGACTATAGCTCCTTGGTGTTCTCAACGCTGCACTTTTCATATCGACTTCGTCTAGGGTCAAAGATCACCTTCGGGCTGCGGCAAAAAATTATCTCATACCTTAGTCACACCGACAAGACACTATGAATATGACGGACAATGAAAGCGGACAAAATGTACAGTTCCTCGGGTAGACAAAGGAACATCCCTTCACTGCTATTATGTAAAAAGGTGAATATGCATGTGACACCTGTTCTACACATTTTTACATAATAGCAGTGAAGGGATGTTCCTTTGTGTACCTGAGGAACTGTATATTTTGTCCGCTTTCTTTGTCAGTCATGTTCATAGTGAGACCGACTCCGGACCGACAACAGACCGAACGAAATATGTCATTACTTCTATAGCCAAGAATCGGTCGGTTTGTAGTCGATTTCAAGCTAAACTTTAGTACTGGTAATGCGATTGCATTGTGAAAGAAAAGGTGTGGAAAGGATCAGAAAAAGTTGATCATGTAGAATGTAAGTATTGGTGTGCACTGCAAGGTTCTAGAGTCATCAAAATCATAATAAATTTGACCGAGTTTTGGTAAAGTA